GGGGCATGGTGGCGTGGATGGGGAAGGCTGTCTCCACCACCAAGTGTCACTGGCTCCCCTGTGGCTGGTGGCGGGGGACCCTCTGCAGTTGCCCAGCCACAGTGGGAAGACGGGGGATCCCCCTGGAGCTCTCAGCTACTGTGGAGGGTGAGGGGACCCTGCGGCAGCCGAGCCCCTGGTGGGCAGTGGGGGACCCTAGACCTCCCACTTGCCGCAGATGATGGGGAACTGGAGCTCCCCCACAACTGCTCAGCTGCCACGAGGAGCAGGGGACTTCGAAGTGGGGCAGCAGTGGTGGGGGACCCCGGCGCTCCAGCAGCAGTGGGCACTGAGCTGAACCTGCCTCCCCGTTTTGTCAGTATATTTTTAGTGAAAGTCAGGACAGGTCACAGGCTTCCGTGAATTGTTGTTTATTGCCCACGACTGGCCGTGATTTTTATTAAAAATATCTTTGCCTTACTCATGGTCACAAGCTTTCAAATTGTGGTTGTGGGGATTCCCAGATTACTGCCAGATTTCTTTCCCCTTTTTACACAGACTCAGTGCTTGTGAGAGGGGATGTAGTGCCTCTTAGAGGCACCTGGGGTGGTCTGAAATTTTCCCAGATTACTGGGTGGAGGTGTGACAGGTTCAGTCACAGAGATCCCCTTGGGACTGTCACCTGATTTGCTGACATTACCTTTGAGCATGTTTTCCCTGCCAGCTTGGGACTCCAGAACCCTGCCTTGTTGAGCCAGACACGCTAGCCTGCTGCAACACAGAGCCAGGGTCTAGACCGTTCCCCCAGAGCTGCAGACTTTGTCTCTCTGGGTCCTCCATCCCTCCTTCTAAATGGAAAATACATGATTTAAGATGGATTTTGTTATCAGTTGACATGGGCACAAGTCACTGTAAGACCCCTAGTCTCCATTCCCCATGGGCTGGCCCACGCGTACACAGGGAGGCTTTCAAGTAATTAACGCCATTCACAACTGATTGGTTTTGGAGCACCCTTGATGGCCTCCACTTAATATGTTTTTCATCAGTGATACAAGTTTATATCTTATTCTCCTAACTCCAGATACAGAAATAATACATGCAAACAAATAGGATGAACACACTTAGCAGATGATAAGCTTTCTAAAGACACCATGCAAGGGGTATTTAGCGTAAAGTATATTCCAGTTATGTCATATTCATAAGCATATTTCCATAAAGCATATGGAGTGCAATATCACAGGGGGCTCCAGCCGGTTTGGTTTTGTATTGGAACCCCTACGTATTGAACCTGGCCCTGGTAGCTGCCAACTCCACCTGGCAAGAAAAGGAGAAAAATGACAATAGGTTCCAAGGCCACTGAGAGTGTTATGTGAAAACTGACCAATTGTTTCTGGAAGGCAACACACGAAGCCCCTGGATCCTGATCCTTAGGGATAATGGAGCCAAGGGAAATTCTTCACGGTGCTGACTGCTCACTGGGGATGATCCGTCTGCACTGACAAGGTTTCAATCCCAGGGGACAATCTGATCTATTCAGATCATTACACTGCAAGAGCCAATGCCTGCCTAGTCCACAGTGAGTGACCCCTGGAGCTCCCAGGAGAGCCAAGGGAAGGGAACGCGGAGGTGCCAGGACAGGACATTCTGTTCTGGTGCCTAAGACATCTAGGGTACTGCTGGATAGTGACCGACTCTCATTAACACTTACAGTGACGTTCCCAGCTGGCTCATAACCAATCCTGAGTCATTCGGGGGGCAAAGCACCTTTACAGCAGTGATGAGACCCAGCTAGAGAGGACTGTTTCACAGGCAGGTATTGGAACAGAGCAGAGAACCTCTTACTGTCTTGGTGCTGGTGGTGGGGACAGCAGACATGGATAGATCGGATGTCTGAGATTTCGTGCTGGACATTCGGAATCCCTTGATCCATCTCCTGTACTCCTCTCTCACCTGGAGAGTGAGGGACACGGTCACTGCACTATTTAACTAACTCTGAGAAGATCAGACATGGCCACCGCGAGGTCGGTGAAGGAGCTGGGTGGGCACATATGGGCTGGGGGCATTACCTGGCGATTGAGGAGACAGTGCACCAGGAAGATGAAGGCTCCCTGCAGGCTGTTGACGAAGGTGAATAAATACGCCATGACCGTGGCTGCTGGGCCGACTTGGAGGAGACCAAAGCTCCATGTGCAGCCCAGAATGAAGAGCTGGGCGATGGCTTTAAAGGTCAGTAACCTGGATAAAGGCAGATGGAGAGATCCCGTTACAATAACCCTATGAAGAGCAATTGAGTCAGGAGGGTCTGGGTAGAGTGGAGTGGAGCTACCGTCCCTGGCTTTCCTCTGTAGGACAGGGTTACTGTCAATGCAAACACACTGGGAATTCGTTCCCATGGATCCTAGATCTGCTGTTCCCCTCCTGCAATCCCTCACACCCTCCCGGTGCCAAAGAAACTCCAAACCAAGACATCTGACCCTCCAGGATTGTTTTGTTGCCTTCTCACCTGTGGTCTCTGAGGGTGGACACATCTGCATTGAGGGAGGAGAGTCTGTTTCTGAGGGTCCACAGGGTCAGGACAAAGAACGTTTTATTTATCTGTGGGAAGAGTGGGAAATATTTCCTGTAAAACATCCCATCCGGGGCCGGTGACTCCAGCTGAGGCAGAGACCGATCCCAGGGGACCGATCCGAACACTGCAGAACCGGGGACTGCTCATTTCCAGTGGGAATCATCTGCTCTCCTGTAATATCCCCTGGCAGCTCTCGGTCCCTCCCCATGCGTGGAGCTGACAGCACAGCCAGGGCTGAGATGGATCAATGGGATCACAGAGGCCAGATGCTGCTGAGAGTTAAATATGGAGCCTCTCCAGTGGAGTCAGTAGCAATTTTTACACTGGTGTAACTGAGAGCAGGATCTGGCTCAGAGATTCCAGCTCCTGCCTCTAGAATACTTCCTGCCACTTTCAGGCTGTAACAAATCCCCCCCCACCCCAACTTCCCCAGGGGGTAGGGAGGAATATGTAGGGACATTTGTTCCCCCGCTACAAAAACCACTGCAGAGTTCAGCCCTCTCCCTTCCTAGTTCCTTGGGTCATTAACTAGACTAGACCAAACTCTTGCTGTCTTCACTTTGGAAAACTCTTGAAGTATATGGGAGCTGTGCCCAAGTAAAGGCTGTAGGCCTGGGGATGCAGCACAGAGACTAATCCCAGGACTGACCACTGAAGATGAGTCAGGTGGGACCTAACTGGGTCTTTCTTCATGTTTTATTGGCCATGTTCCCCTCCCTGCTTCACTGAAATCAATGAGGTGGCAGAGGTGAGAGGAGAATGGGGCCCTGTGGTTCTGGGAGGTACCCACCAGGATTATGGCACAGACTGGACCCAGGAAGCTCCAACGAAAGCCTTTGTTCAGGCTGAGCCAGCAGCTAGCGGGAGGGAGGAAGAAGAAGGTGATGTTAATGGGATTACTGCCCTTTTTCAGCCCCGGGGGCAGAGAGGGGGTGTCACGGGGGCAGAGAGGTGGTGTCACAGGGCAGCTGGCTCTCAAAAGCGAGATGGATCTCAGCCTGCCTGTGACATGGCCGACTCTCTTGCAGGCAGCAGGCAAACAGCCCTCTCCAGCTCCCTCAGCATCTCCTGCTTTCAGCCACCACTTCCTCTTCCACTTCCTCAATGACCCTTTCTGGTGGATGGGCGCAGTATTGCTGGAGGGCCAGACATGCAGCGGATGGACATTGGCCTCGCTGCACTGAAGGAAGTGGATCTGCCCTGATTTACACCAGCTGAGGATCTAGCCTGGGGTGTCTAGAACACGCCACGCCCTGTTTTAGTGAGTTGCTCACTTTAGAGAGGGGATCCTCAGGGATTTGCACACAGGAAGAAGGTCCATTTGTTTCCTACCCACCAGCCCCACAAACCCAGCCTGGGAGCTGGGAGTCGAGCTGGGATCTTTCTGGCTTGTTCTTCCACATCATCAGTGGGGTGAGGGGTGTAGATGTCTGACAGGTGGGCAACTCAACTGCAGCACTCGGGGCAGCCTAGTGTCCCTGGGGAGGGAAGGGTCCTGGGGGAACATTCAGCTCCCAGGCAGGGTGAGCAGGGAAATCTAGGTTCAAGTCAGACCTGGGGTGAGCCGGACAAGCGCATGGAAGTCACATCCCAGCTCCCCTTCGGGATGGGAGCTGCACGTACTGTTCGGAAGTTCCATAGCCATCAGGATTCACC